TATATATATCTAACAAAGGTTTCCCCTTCCTTTTCAGTTATTAACACCAAGAAGTCTGATGACCCCACTGCTCCCAATGAGACTTTAATAGACCTGGACCATAATAAATTTAAGTGTAAAGTCCCTGGCTGCTCTAAAGCATTCCGGAAAGCAAAACTGCTGGACTATCACCTGAAGTACTATCATAACACCGAGAAAGAAATGGACAGCGAGGTCTGCTCACCAGAGAGGGTGGGCCGCACTAGGGCCACTTCTGCTTCCATGCCTACAAGCACCTTGTCAGATATGCCAGATAACAAGAGACGCAGGACCGTCTCTACTTCTTCCTGTAAGTTGTTATTTGTCAGGGTGATTTCAGCAAAATGGCTATGGAATTAACATTTACACAAACTGAATTATCATCTTCTCTTTGTGGTCTTAGCTCTGTCCTCTCAGGCCTTCATGCTTCAAATGGACAGCTCTGGCTGTGTGAGGCCTCCTAAGTTCTGTAAGAAGAAACGTTCTTCTGCTTCTGTCAGTTCAGACAGTACAGAGGTCTCCCTACCACCTCCCAACTTTGATAATCTCCATGACAAGATTATCAAGAAGGAAAAGCACCTAGATGGTGAGCTATTTCTTTAGATTTTAAAGACGGTGAATGGAGTTCTTCCTTTTTTCCATTTTTATCATATGGATGTTTGTTTGGTCTTCAGGACTTTGTATAAAGACAGAGCGGAAATTCAAACTGGTGGATAAATGTCAGTTGTTTGGTCAGTTTACAGACTTTTTTTATCTCAATTTTACATTCTTAAATCAATAAGTATATCAAATCTTGTATTTATTTTCTCTTTAGTGAAAAAGAGGGATAAAGACAGAAGGGACAGGAAAGAGAAGGACATTTTCCGAATTAAACAGAAGAAAAAGAAAAAAAAGAAGAAGAAATCAAAACTGCACTGTAAGTTAAGTTTTATGTTTGCCTAATTTTCAGTGGTCGTTTTACAAATACTTTGAATCTTACATCTTTGAGTTAAAAATTAGAGCAACTTTCAAATTTCATCAATTTTAACTTGCCTCATTTCACTTTAGCCATCTATTTGATGTATGGAATGAGAGGGTCATATTGTTCTCACCTTTGTGCTAAGGTTACTCAGACCTGGATGAGATGTCGTTGGCTTATTTGGATAGGCCGTCTTCCCCAATGCATCGTTCTTCCTCTAGTGCCTTCAAGCACAGCACCTTCCAATACCCTCGTGCCATACTGTCCGTCGACCTCACCGGGGAGAGTAAGTCTTTTCATTGATTTACAGCTTTTTGTAGCCACTTTCCAATAATGGTATCATTTTAGCTGTAGCTTCCTGCCATTCAATTCGATGTGTTCTGATAGTAGATAATAGATAGAAGTTAACATGAATATGGTGTCAGTGATGTGCTGTGATGTTGAGCCTCATTTCATGTCCTACTTCCTTTTCCTATCTCAGACCTATCAGACATCGACTTCCTGGAAGACTCGACCACTGAGAGTTTGCTGTTCAGTGGAGATGAGTATAACCAGGATCTAGACTCGATCACTATGGAGGACTTCCAGGATGAGGATGATGATGGTGCCAATGAAATCGTTCGTTGCATCTGTGAGATGGATGAAGAAAACGGCTTTATGATTCAGGTAGGTTTACTCTTAGAAAATGCCACCTGATGAACTTTGAAACTAGTTTTTATGCTGTCTGTAAATATACAGTTTCATGCAAGAAACATCTCAAGTGTTTTGAAATGGTTCTAAGTACCTTTTTGGTGTCCTTGTTCTGAATCTGCTGTCTGTAAAATGGCAAATAATAGTTTTCTGATATTATCTCTCTGTCTTTACAGTGTGAGGAGTGTATGTGCTGGCAGCACAGTGTGTGTATGGGGCTTTTGGAGGACAGCATCCCTGATCACTACATATGTTACATCTGCAGAGATCCTCCAGGTAACAATCCTGTGCGACAATACCGTGCACAAAGGGTCAGCAGGATTTTGTAGCTTTATCTTCAACTGTTTTTTAAATGGAAATGAAGTTTATGTACAGTAAAAATAAAACTGAAATTGCTCCAAGGTTGTTAATGAACTGTGTACTTTTTTCAGGTCAGAGGTGGAGTGCTAAATACCGCCATGATAAAGACTGGCTACAAAAGGGCCACATGTATGGCCTGTCCTTCCTCACAGAGAACTACTCGCATCAGAACGCCAAGAAGATCGTGTCCACTCACCAGCTGCTGGCTGATGTTTACAGTGTTAAAAACTTGCTTCATGGCCTTCAGCTGAAGATGGATATTTTACAGTAAGAGACACTTTATCTTTCCAGAAGCATACCGAATTTTTTACATTATGTGACATTGTTGAAAAAAACATATTACTACCATAATAACAAATCATCCAAAAATAATTGTTGCCAAAGATGGGTTAAGCTAGGACAGGGCGATAAACTGCATCTTACCAAGATCGTGATCAAATTTATGTTGCTAATGATGAGAAGATGTGGACATTTTTACTCTATGGATTAATCTAACAGCCTGTAAGACAGCAAACATAAACATGACAACAACAATGCAAACACACATTACACTTAAAGCATTTCAAGTGTCTGACGTCTCAATTTATGAGGACAGTCCAGAGCTTTACCGAGAGTTCACTTCACAAGCTTTTTTCACCGTTTCATCTGAGAAAAACTATAAATACACACTGCAACTCAAAGGATTTTCATGACAAGCTCACAAAATAAAGATTTAGAAGTACAGTATATTACTATTGTATATACTTATATGTTCTTAATATTATTTTTACAGAATATCATACAACCAAGATTTTTTTTAAATAATTTATACAGATTCAGTTTGATATTGTATTGTATAATATGGAAAAAAATATATATTTTTTTCCATAGTGCCCAGACAATGCCGATTTTAATTTGTATAACAATGGTTGAGTTTTTTAGGCCTGTCAGGTTTTAAATTGTTCTTCTGATAGACAACTGTAGAAGAAAAGATGCAGGCACAATTATACGCTTCTAACATTTTTTTTTAGGAACAAACACAACCCAAGTTTACACTTGTGGGCCCGGTCTTGGGTGAACTCTGATGAGGACCAGCCTATGGGTGGCGTTCCAGACTGCCTACATTTCAAAGAGCACCTCAACCAGAACTTAAGCCCTGAAACTTATATTACCAGTGAGCACAGCTACCAGAAACCTCCCGGTACAGGCCTCGAACACACAAGGGATGAGCAGGGGTTGCAAACAGCCTCTCAGTTTAACCGAAAGGAAGAAGAGGTAAGCAAAGAACAATTAAAACTCCGGTCTGGATAGGTTCAGTATGTGAAAAGGTAAACAGATTTTGAAATCGGTGCTCTTTATGGTTTGTGTAGGTGAGCAGTGCCATTGCTCTGTCTGGCTGTGTGAATGACAGCAATATGGGCTCCATGGAGCAGGCCAGGAACTGTCTGCAGTGGCAGATGAACCTGCTTACACACATAGAGGATGTTCAGAACCAGCTGTCTGGCCGTATGGACCTTATCGAGAAAGAGCTTGATGGTAAGGGGAAGAAATATGGAAAGTGCCATTATAGAGTCAAAACTATATTTATTGCCACATGACCAGGGCTGGTTGAATTTGTTTCTGTGGTGTCACAGAAGAATACCGCCATGAGCTTAAGTTGAAGTTAAATGTCTTGCTCATGAGCACAGTTGTCATGGCTAACGATTTATCCTTTGTGAACCAGAAACCTTTTGCTTACTTTTGCCATAAAAAATCACGCAAGAAGCAGAGATGCCTTTTGATATTTTGCTAAGGTTTCATTCTCTTTCTCCCTGTCTGTATGAAGTGCTCGAGAGTTGGTTGGACTTCACAGGAGAATTGGAGCCCCCTGAACCCCTGGCCCGACTCCCACAGCTCAAGTGCCGCATCAAACAGCTTCTGACGGACCTGGGAAAAGTGCAGCAGATGAGCACCCTCTGCTCTGTGTGATACACACATTATAGTGTGTGTTATGAGCGAAACCTCACGTTTCTTCGCACACAACTACGTGTTTGAGAAGGTTTATTCAACATGATTCTCCTGTTCAGTAGATGTGCACTTTGTGAAGTAAACCGTTGGCCATCGCCAAATATGAGTAAAGGAAAGTTCACACGTAATGTGTGAAACAGGAAGATGTTGGTGTGTTCATGTTGAGTCTAAAAACATATCTGCTTAAAGAAGTTTTTGTTCTCCAAAATAGGAAGAGCTCACTGTAGCAGATTAATTCTTTCTCATGTTAATAGAAGAGATTATCTATTTTATAAAGGTCATAACACCACACATAAATGTAGTTTTTTTTTTAAATATATATATATTTTTTTTTTTTTGATCAGTTAGACCCCCAAAGCAAATCCAGTCTGTATTTCCACTCTATGAGCTTAAGGAAATATGAACTTGACTGAAGAGGGTCACTGATAGCAGACTTGTTTTGATACCAGACAAATCTGGTTATAAAGGTTCTCACCACTTCAAAAGTCACTTTAAAGTGCAAGAAAACAGATCACTGTGGTCTGTTTTTTTCCCCAGACACAAAGTTCAGGATTTACAAGTTTTTGAAATGGATGTTGCATTTTAGACCAGGATTGGGCTCATTTGCGGTCTGATACACTGGCACTAAAGGTTCACAATGCCAACAAGCTCATTAGACCAACACCTAGATAATTTTCATACAACAACTCGTCTAATACTTTAGCATATTTCTCTACAGTCTTGATGGATGCTGTAGCAATTCACAAGAAAACAGGCTACTCTAACTTTATCCAGGATGTCCAGAGATAGGTGACTCTTCTCACTAATGTCTGTTTATCATGTTGATACTTTGAGAGTTGCTACCATGAAGTAAGCTAATCCTGAGATAGATGTAAATGCATATATTGAATCCATTTTGTTCCCTTGAAAAATTTATAAACAGTTTTTATAACTGTAAGGAAAAAAAAAATTAAGGCATAAGAGGATAATACTTAAAATGCCCGTTTAATCTCAATTTCTATTAATCTGTACAAAGAGTGTTTTAGAATTTAGATTTAAAACTTGAAGTTTCTTTTGATGAGAAATACCAGCTGTACATTTAAAGAGTTTATTTAAAGACCTGATGTAATTATCTGTATGTACAACTTCATTAAAAAATATTCTCAACGTTTTTTGTGTATGGTCATCGTTTACACTTATGCATTAATGTAAATGTGAATTTTATTTCTCTAAATGTTTCTACAAAGTATTTTCCTCTTTATAGAAGTACGGGGCAACTAAATGAGAGAAGTAACTTCACACAGCTCTGTTCATCTCTATTGGAAGTGGTTTTCAGATGACTGATGTTGCTGGTTCCTCTTAAAGAAGTGCTCTCAAGAGTTCAAGGTTGGCTGCTCACTTTACGATGTCCAAAATTTTGTTATTCACCACCAGGTACTCTAACCAGGTTGGAGAGGTTTGTGTTTTGATAGATAAATCCGTAAAATGACTGCTGAAAAGGTATGACAGTGCACATCTTGGATATGGTATAAAAGACAATGCAGTCTTGTAGTGTTCACTAGGAGAGTTCTTGCATCCTAGAGAATATTCAGAACATGGAAGAGATGAAACACCTTTTTGTAATTGTCACACTGCTTAACATCTTCTCCTTGACATGTGGAAAGATTTCAGGTGAGTGTGTTCTATTTACTATAGGTTCTGTATTTAAGTTTTTATGGTTTAGAAAACTCGTCCACCTGTGTCTTCCCCTCAGAGTACCAGCTGGAGACCGAGAGTCTGAGTCAATGTGAACAGCTCAGGGCTGTCAGTTCAGCGAAGGGACATGAGCACGTCCCCCAGTGCTCTGAGGACGGCTGCTTTAGGTGCATTAACTTGACCATTATTGTATATACTATATAATATTACATAAAAGCACTATGGTATGTTGTGGAAAAGTTTGAAAAAAAAATGGCATCCTTGCAGGCATGTTCAGTGTAATCGTGGAGGTGGGGAATGTTGGTGTGTGAATGGAGAAGGACTTGAGATACCTGGGAGTCGGCAAAATAAATCCATGGTTTATTGTAAGCCATTCTTTATGTTTCGACATTTGGTGTCCCAGAAAACCCTAATGAAAAGCATGAATAGATGTCAATTTCCAACTGTTTTCTACATTGATAATACGACAAAATGTTTCTTGAGCACCAAGTCAGCATATTATAATGATTTCTGAAGGATCATGTGACATTAATTACTAAAGTAATGTCTGGGGAAAAGGTTATTCTAAGCTATTTTTAATAACATTACTGTTTTTACTGTATTTTGATCTATTAAATGCATCCTGTCCTCTCTCTATAGGTTTAACCACATGCCAGATCCAGAGACAGCGGGCAATGCAAACTGAAGGCATCACCCTGGTGCCAGTATGTTTGGACTGAGGTGAGTTCGAGCCAATGCAGTGTGATGCATCCCGTGGCCAGTGCTGGTGCGTGGACCAAGAAGGCATGGAGATCTATGGAACCAGGCAGAACGGAAAGCCCTCAAAGTGTGAGTGCATTTATTCAGTGTTGTATTCATTTAGTTCCCTGAATGCATTGTTTGAACAGTTTAGATGAGTTTCTGAAAGATCAAGATTTTTACTTCTACTTTTGACTTTAGATGTGCTATACAATGCGTCTTAACCTTTGACCCTAGGTCCTGGTACTTGTGAGGTGAGACAGCGGCGACTCCTTCATGGTATCGGCGAATCATCTCCCCCTCAGTGTTCAGATGATGGGGGCTTCTTACCTGTGCAGTGCAAGTTTGTCAACACCACTGACAGAATGATATTTGACCTGTTACACACCTTTAACAGGTGAGATATGTGGTTTACCATTCAAAAGTTTGGGGTTGGTAAGATTTCATTTGATCCAAAATACAGTAAAACAGTAATATTGTGAAATATTATTACAATTTAAAATAACTGTAGAATATATTTTAAACTGTAATTTATTACTGTCATCGCAAAGCTGAATTTTCAGCTATCATTACTCCAGTCTTCAGTGTCACATGATCCTTGAGAAATTATTCTAATATTCTGATTGGGTGCTCAAGAAACATTGCTTATTATTATTATTTTCAGGATTCTTTGACGAATGGAAAGTTCAAAAGCACTTATTCATTTATTTGAAATCTTTTGTTAAATTTTTAATGTCTTTGCGGTCATTTTAATGCATCCTTGCTGAATAAAAATATTCATTTAATTTTAAAAATTAGTATTAATTTAATAGTATTAATTTAAAATAAATTTTACTGACCCTAAACTTTTAAATGGTAGTGTATATCATTCTGTAAGACTAAAATTGGAAATCGCCAAATAATGGTTACTTTCTCATAGTAAATTAAAATTTAATTGAATTAATAGAGTCTCACTTCCTCTCTTTTTAGATCTACACTTCTGTATCTGGGAAAGCAGCTCAAGCTTTACATGTTTAACCACTAGACAGCAGTATTATGTCAGATAGAAGAAGCATGCAACAATTTACACGATTTTCCAGTTTTCCTAGATAATCTGTTAAAGTCTTCTTTTTGAGAAGAGTTTGAAATGCATCTGCTACAAGTGATTTATTTAACTGAAGTTTATTTTCTTTAACAGAGACCCAGAGGTGTTCCAGACCTTCAGTGCTTTCAGAAAGGCCTACCCAGAGCTCTCTAGTTATTGTTTCTGAGCGGATAGTCATGGAAGAGAGATGCCAAGCACAGGTGATACACACCTCTTCAGTTATATCCAGGTTAAAGAACTAAGCCAAGAGCTTTAGGTTTAAACACCACAAAGAGTGATCCATAAACTGTGTAGTGAATCAGCTCATTGGGGAAATATGTGAAAAAGAACCAGTTTGAGTCAGAGAATCTTGGTGAATGGAAAAGCCAAGGCCGAAGACTGGCACGAACTTAGGGTGTCCTGGAGCGTTGTAGCTTACATCTTCTCATAACCTAACAGAACCACCGACTCTGAGGCGGGATTTCTACTGTGCATTGTGTCTCTTCCTATGGAAAAGGCAGTGATTCTCTCTACTCACATTCCTCTGGGCCATAAAACCAGTGATATCCGCATTAGTTGCCATGGGGACCAGGGGGGGCCTGGTGCCGTTCGCAGACATCCTGGCACCCAGTCTATTGGGTGAGGGGTCTGTGACGACTTGTTAATCTATTGAATAACTGATTTGTTAAATCAAATGAAAAATTGTGTTTTTGATTGGTCCAGACGCTACAACTGTTACCATTGTGTATTTGCACTGAACCTCTGTTTGCACCAGGGAGACTATGATTCTAAGTTGTGACATTTTGTGTGCTGTTAAAAAGATGAATTGTTTTGAGTTTGGTTTGTCTAGGTGTGGAGCTGCTGTTGGATGAGGTGTACGACACAGCATTTTCAGACCAGACTGCAGGAAGTACATTTGCACAGTCAAACATGTATCGAATCCTACAGCGCTGCTACCTTGCCGTCCAGCTGGCTGTGAGCGGGAGATTTAGATGTATGCAACATTTTGTTGAAAAGGAAGCTACTATAATGATGTCATAGACTGCAAAAATAATTGTATAAATCAGTGTTTTTGTTTCCCAGTAAAAATATCTAAATATTCTTAAGGATATGCAGTTTTGGTTCTCAAGTAAATTTAAGATGATAATGTTATTACGTTGAAGTTTATTTTTCTTACCTAATTTGCAAATCGTTTTTTTACTAATCAATATGTTTCCTGTACATGTAAGGACAGAATATAGGAAAAATAGTAGTTGTTATAGCAGTGCAGGACTAAAATCCACCCTTCAGCACTTATTTGCTACATCCGTATAAAAGTACAGGTACTTACCCAACTCTTACTTTTTTAATAAGGTCCAACCCCATGTGAGAGCCAACGGGCTGCAGCTACTCAGGTTGGCAATTCTTTTGTACCCTCCTGTACTGATAACGGAGCATATGTGCCAACCCAGTGTCCGTCCGGTGGCCAGTGTTGGTGTGTGGATGCTGTTGGAAAAGAGATCTTTGGCACACGCCAGTATGGAGTACCAAATTGTAGTGAGTTTGGCCTTTGTGTGTGTTTTATGGAATATTAACAATGTATTAACTTGTATAGAATATTAACAACCTCTTTAGCATCAGTAAATCTTGAATGATATTAATCAATAACAAGTAATGTTCAGGTAGTTACATAATGCATTAAAATATATCCACGAACACATTGGAAACTAATCTAATTAATCCAGTCTGGTGGTAGAAGTTCATGGTGCCTTAACTATACAATTTATTCTTTAGTTATTGTGATCTTAAGCTTGCTTGAGTGATTTTACCTGCCAAGGGACCGGTGAAACAAAAACGAAAAACTTTACCGGTCCCTTGGTGAGTGAAATTTGAGTTGAATAGAGTTTGTGCACTGACTAATGTTGTGTTTCTTGTTTGTTTGGGCACTGGAGTGAAAGACTGCCTGTCTGAGAGGAGACAAGCCCTCTCCAGGCTTTTTTATGGCCCAGCTGGAGACTTCAGCAAGAGCAACGTGTTCTCTGTTTCCAAAGACACCCTCTCTTTTCTTGGTACTTGCAGTCCTGAATTCCAGGAGCTTTTGGCCAACTCTGGTCTTCTTCAGTCATTGCCAGAGCTGGAGCGTCCAAATGTCAGAGACATCCTGGCAGAGGTCCTCCAAGGGATGTTTCCCTCTGGAGATCTTGCCCTGAAAGCTCTTGCCCCGAATCCCAAGAGACTCCAGGAGAATCTCTTTGGAGGAAAATTCCTAAAGAATGCTGGCAATTTCAACTTCACCGGCACTGTTGGAAACAGTGGTACATTGAGTTTCAGTCAAGTTTTCAGTCAAGTTGGTTTGACGCAAGCTGCGACCGACTTGATGCAGTTGGCCAAGACCTTTACAGATGACTCTGCCAGTTTTAAACTAGACCAAGAGATCTCTGATACATTTGGACGTTCGGTGAACCTGAAAAGCAATAGAGATATGATTAAACTTGTTTCAATGGCTCTTGAGAATGAGCAATTTCTCACTGTTCTTCGAGAAGCAATCAAACAGTTGAAGGCAGAAGAAAGCACGCAGTTGGGTCAACTGTTTCGTGCCATTTTCCAGAAATCAGATGTTTGCAAGTCTGTGACTTCCACCTCAACTCCATACATGCCCCAGTGCACTGAGGATGGGCGATACCAGGAAGTTCAATGTCAGGGCTCAGAGTGTTGGTGTGTGGACTCTCGTGGTCTGGAAATAACAGGTTCTCGCATCACTGGGTCCAGACCGAGATGCTCATCCCAGTGTGAGAAAGAACATCAGATGGCGATTGCAGTCAAAGCCAGCAGTTCTGCAGGATCAGAGGTCTTCATTCCTAAATGTGGGACTGATGGTGCTTACGTTGCACATCAGTGCCTTGGCAAAAGTTGTTTCTGTGTGGACCGTTCTGGAACGAAACTCGGCATTCAGAGCTCAGGAAGCTCTCTTCAATGTGAGTCTGAATGCTAACCACAGATGATTAATTACTGAGCCAGAGAGGATCATTCCTGTATTCATGCATTTAATTAGACACACATTCAAATGATCCGGCACATATGTAACAAACAACTGGCCAAACATCTCAATTATGCATCATACAGACTTTTCATTTGTTTTATGGAGCTTAATTGCTTTCAGTTTTGCCAGGTATCTTCTCAAAGGTTAAGTTTTGCTCTTTATTTATTTGTCACATAAAATTGCCAGTGTACATTTTTTAAAATCGAACACATGCCAGGGCAGTCTTATGTAACCTACAGAAAAATGTGAGAAAAAGGACAATTTTTGTACCTTATCTACCCCTAAAATGTACATATCAGTATGTTAGAAGACTACTATTAATCTTTTAGGGTTCTCGTAATTGTGACTTTATATTTATTCCTATAGTTCAAAATGTAGAGCATAAAACCATCTGCCAAATGCATAAATACAGATGTTAAATCTTCTAAATGTGAGTTAATATCTTGCAATTGCAACTTTATATCTACAATTTTAACTTTTAGGTCTCGGATTTGCAATGTTATCTCTCAGATTTCCATAATGAACAGCTACAGAAACCGGAAATGCACCATAATTGTTGTCAATTCATTGACAACGAAGGCATTTCACTTTACTAAGATGGAATCACATTAACAGTGATTATTCAAATCTGAAATGTAAAAGTTAGATTATGACTTTTTAATATTATTTTATTGATATTCCTCTTTAGGTCCAACAAGCTGCCAGGCAACAGCCACCCAGCAATTCCTGTCTACAGTGCGCTCTGTTCTCTCTGATCCATCTTCAATAATCCAGCTTTCTGAAGTGTACATCCCTCATTGTGCTTATGATGGCAGCTGGCATCAGATCCAGTGTGATGGGCCTCCAGAACAAGCAATTGAGTTCTACCGTGAGTGGGTTCGGATCATAAATTCCGGACAAGACCTGCCTGTTTCAGAAGCTCTTGGAATTCTGCAAACCTATGCAGGAAACTCAGAAGCAATGGCATCATTCAGAACATTTGTATCTGAATTGTTCAAAGCTGGGCACCACCGAGTGTTCCCTGTCCTGGAGAGATTTGAGAAGATCTCTGATATTCCATCTGACATGTTAGATGGGAACGTCGAGGCCATTTACGGACCATCTGTTTTTCTGAACCCATTATCTTTATGGAGACTGATCAGAGGAGAGGATTCTGGTTATCCAGGCCCACTGTCAGATTTCAGTCTTCCTCTTGGGAGCTTTCACGTACATCAGTGCTGGTGCGTTAACCCTCAAGGAGACATGCTAGCAAGTAGCAAGGCTCCTATTGGACAAATCCCCAAATGTGAGTTATACAAGTTATACATTATAGCAATTAATGTACTGTATGTAGTGGTACTACTATCTGCCACTACTATAGTAATAATAATAGTAGTAGTTGACTATCTTCCTATGATCTCTTTTGTGTGTCTCTTCAGGTCCAGATCCATGCTCTATGGTTCAAAACCGGGTCTCTGAGTTCCTGAAGCAAGCTGAAGAGCTGATCTCTGCTTCAAACAGCTCGCATGTGCCTGTGGGTTACGGTTTTCTCCTGGCAGAGAGTGTCTATTTGAGCCCTGAGGAGCTGGAGCAGACACACTCCTCAAAGATCCCCATCACTCAGACTCTGCTGAGGAACCCCAACTTGGCGCTGAGACGACTCGCAGCTCATTCCAGTACAGCCTTATGTTTGATCTGTCTCAAAATAAAAGCTCAAAAACTGCAGAAGAAATTATAGTAGGGTTCAAAAGTCTGAGACAACATCTGAAAAACTTGGAAATAAAGGTTTTTGAAAATAATGTCATTAAAGGTATAAAATTAAGTACCTATATTTAAGAGTATAGAGAATTTCTCTGCACTATTTAGATAAGCTAATTTGTGTGACTTACTAAACATTTGAACCCTACTATATATTCTTCAAAGGTGCCTACACATTCCAGTTATTTAATAAAAGTTGTAAGGTTGGGAGAGGACACATCTGAGATGTGCTATAATGATTTAGCCACACTAAGGCTTCATTTGCTTTCGCTTCTCAACAGCCCTACATTTCTACTGGCAGAGCAAACTGATGGCCGATGACAAAGACAGGCAGAGTTTAATGCTGGGATACCAACCCTACATCCCACAGTGTGACGCTTATGACCAGTGGCTACCCAATCAGTGCTACCAAAGCACAGGTGAAACCATTCTCCATATATTTTTTTTTATCATGATAAAAAAAATAAACCTTTTACTTCATGTAAAAGCCTTGACACATAAACCACTGTTCTAAACAATAATATTGTGAAATATTATTGTAATTTACTTTGTATTTTAATGTATTTTAAAATGTAATTTATTCTGGTGATGGCAAAGCTGAATTTTCAGCAGCCATTACTCCAGTCTTCAGTGTCACATGATCCTTCAGAAATCATTGTAATATGCTGATTTGCTACTCAGGAAACATTTGTTATCAATGTAAGCAATAGTTGTGCTGCTTAATATTTTTGTGGAAATTATTTGATGAATAGAAGGTTCAAAAAAATGCATTTGCAGATCATTTTCTCCTAAGTTTTTTTTTTTTTTTTTTGGCTGTGTTTGATATCATAGGTCAGTGTTGGTGTGTTGATGAGGAGGGAAGATACATCACAGGCTCTCTGATGTCTCGTTCTGCACCCTCTCAGCAGTGTGAGAGTCCAATCCCATATTTATCTCTAATCTTTTTATAATCAAAGTAGTTAGGCTAACTGCTTGATTTAGTTCTGTTGTTTGTGATTTGACTTCTTGATTGTGAATAAGTATGCAAGCTGATTTGTAAAAAAAAATGTCCCCCAGGCCAAACTAAATGCCAAAGGCTACAAAGTCACTTCCTGCTCTCTGATTGGACACAAACAAGCTCTAATATCACTTACACGTACAGCCCATCATGTGAGGAGGTGAGGCTTTCTTTTTGTTTTTTGTTTTTGGATTGAATTATACATACAGAAGGCATTTTATGTTAACCACCGAAGGTTTGCATTTCATATTTGTCTGTCTCATCGTATGTGTGCACATGTTTGTAGGACGGCGAGTTTTCGGTACTCCAGAAGCCCGGTTTAGGCCATTCACAGGGATTGTGTGTGAGTCCAATAACTGGACAAGTCATCCAACCTGCCATCACCAGTCTTTCTGGAGAACCGCAGTGTAATTATTTCATCCATTCATCTTTAGAGTGTGATTTAGTACAACATGTTCTCCGATCAACAACCTTTGTTGGTCAAATTTATTGTCAATCGATCACATGCTTAACCCTTTCCTTGCTGCTGAACCTAACCATAACCTACCCATAAACCCTTAGGGAAATAAAAGGGTGTTAGGAATTTAGTTTCATAGCACAATTGGCATGTTTTTCCAAATTAAAAATGGAAAAACACATCTCAAAAGCCCTACGTTTTCTAAGCAAGATCGCATCCTGTTTTAACAGGAGGTGATAGTAACGTTGTTCCAGCACTAACATTTAGTACCATATCAAGCAGTGAGGCATTGAGAAATGTACCATGTCAGGCCCATGTTGTGTGTTGTAGGTCCAGGTTGGTGTTCTCTACAGAAGACTCTGGCATTGCAGAGAGAGATCGGTGTGGGCTATGAGCCTCAGTGTGTGCAGGACGGGCAGAGATTCTCACCCCTGCAGTGTGACCTGTCCTACTGTTGGTGTGTTTCTCAAAGCGGAAAGGAACTGCCAGCGACACGCACCCTCCGCAGCACAGGACAAACCCCAGCCTGCGACAGTAAGTAAATTAGGTCACACTTTGCATTTCTGTAAAGTTGTGGCATATGCTTGTGGCAACATGATTTTCCCTTATTTTTTCCCTTTTCAGTTCCTGAGTGTCCTCTTCCATTTGGAGATGTTTCCCATGGTGCTGTTCTGTGTAGCACTGCGAATGTTGCGGGTCAGCAGACGCAGTGCTGTAAGCTGTTCTGTGACCAAGGTTATGTCAACACCCTTGTCGCCAGCTTCCTGTGTGATCCCCAGGCCAAAAACTGGCTTGATGATGCTCCACTATCCTACGCCTGTCAAAGTAAAGGCTACAGACACAAACATTGTCCTATTTACCTGTTAAAACACTCACAGGTTGTTGCAGTATGTCCTTCGGGATTTGTCGTTCTAAATCTTGTTGCTCTAATTACTGTGTATCTGTTTGTACTGAGCAACTGTGTGTCTGTGATGTCCATCAGAGCCTCAGGTTTTACAGATAGTGCAGGTGTCCTTACAGCTGAAGCTGTCCCTGGCTGAGGGTCAACAGAGTTGCAGCACCCAAAATGTTCAGCTACAGGCTGCTTTACTGCGAGACATGAGAGCTACAGGCCTCTGCAGCCTACAGGTACAATATAGTCTGCTTTGATGCTTATGATGGTTCCCTTGTGAGGAACCCATTTCCCACTTATTATTTCCGTGTATAAAAAACTTTGAAAGAAAAAAAGAAGCAGCACAATATTATAAAGACAACATGTTTTAAAATCAAATAATTGGCTTTTTATAATTAAATAATTTTTTATAATCAAATAATTTTGCCATTCTACATAAGAGAAAGCACATTATTCAAATGTATTTGGAAAATGTTTATATCTTATTTAGTTGGCAGTGTATCTTTTTATCTGACCACTGTGTTTAATATTAATTATTTAAATATGTAATATTGTGTAATATCACAAGTCTAAAAAATAATTAAACTGATTTATTTTTATTGTTAAACCATGATTGTCAGTAGAATAAAATAGCCATTATTGGCAAATGTGGCAAAATGGTTGTTATACCAAATTGAAAAAAATTATATGAAAAATTTTTATATAAATGATTTGGTATTTAAGGTAACTTTGACAGCCCTAAAAAAATTACATTTTGTTTAAAAAAAAGAAAAAATCTTCCATAGACCCCAGGGTATTAAAGGGCCCTTGAGGGGAAATGGTCATAGAAAAAAATATGAGATGTGAGGGAAAATATATATATTTCTGTTCGCTCACAAATGTTCAATCACAAAATTTTCTTTTTCCTTGCCAGAGTTTGTTTGCTTAAAAAAAAATTGCGTTCCCTGTGAGCAAATGCCAGATTTTGTGGAAACACCAAACTTTTGCAAGTGAACAAACTTTCTTGGAGAGTGAAAAACTTTTATATGCAAATGCAAAACAACTGAAATATATTTTTCCTCCCATCTCATATTTTTCCATTACCATGTTAAATTAGAGGCTCCATAGGGGAACCCCGAATCACAGTTTGAAAACACCATATAGCATATTACAGTAATTTTCCACTAATACAACTTTAGATTGACAAGTAAACAACACCAAAATGTGCAACACCAGAATGTGTTATTAGTATGCAAGTGTCATATTTTTAATATGTAGGTGTCATTGGCCTGCAGTACAGCATTACAACAAACTGTGTAGGTCCGTAAAGCCTACAGAGACAACTTGCATGTGAATTTATTAAAATGACATTCAGAAAACAAGGGTTTTTGTTCATCTATGCTTTGTTTTGGTTTAAATGTCTTGAAATTTTGCATCACTGTGCGTTTGTTTACTTTGTGTACTTTTTGTTTGTGTCTTCATGTTTGTTAGCTGACCTTATCTGGCCAGACCAGCTCTGTTGCAGTCTGTGAAGACTCATCTGTGTCTCTTGAGTGTTTGAATGACAAGGAAGTCACTGCACGCATCACCTTTAGGGCCAGACTCTCCGACCTGCCAATAACATCTCTCCCTGATCTCCATGACATTGGTGTGAACAGCTTTATGCACCTTTAGTCCATTTCTGTACATGTAACATATCTGATATCTAATATCAGATGCATTTCACACTGACATTACACTGAATCAATAATGTTTTTTATTACTCCACGTGATTTTCTTTCTAAATAAATACACGTGTATATTTTGCAGATATGGCACTTAGCGAGGAGAGGATGTTAAAGGGCGTGAGGGAATTAATCCAAAGTGGGTCATACCAGTCCATCTTCCTCTATGACGGTTCTCTCGCTCTTTCTATTCCTCCCTCATTTAGCTGCATGGATGGCTATAAGCAGCTCCCACAATCCACTGGGTGTGGTAGGTTGGCTTCTATACCAGTTGGTTGTCTTAATGACAGACCGGCCTGTGTACCATAAAGGAAAATGGCTTTTCTAGTATTTCCGAATATGCACCTATAAAGATTTCTATAATTGATGCATGTTTTAGCTTACTGGCATAGAAATATGGTGAGCAAAATTGTATAAATGTATAAGGTAATATTTCAAACTGCATGCAATTTTTCCTCCTCTATTATTAATCTTCCTTCTGTATCTGTCAAACTTTCTCCTCTTTTTCCACTCAACACCATCATTATCCAAGCTTAATCACTCTGCTCCCTGTGTGTTTGTTTTTATCCTCTCTCACATGCAGTAGTGTGTCCAGCTGGTTCTTTTTCTAGTGGTGGTGCGTGTACTCCGTGTCTGCGTGATACTTTTCAAGCGGAAGAAGTGCAGGTCTTGTGTTCTCCCTGCCCCTTGGGAACATCCACTGTGGCCCAGGGAGCCTTTAGTGCTTCTCATTGTGAGTAAAGGCCAAACTAAAACAGCCCAGCCCAACACACAAACTCAAGAATAGCTGGTGTTAGATAGTTACAATTAAACATGTCAGCTCTGTCAAAATGTAGATAACAGGTTTCAGAGGAAAATGAGTGATTGTGATTTTTCATCTTGTTTTCTATTTGTCTTGATGCTCTTAAGGTCTTACTGAGTGCCAGCAGAGTAAACTGAGTTGTACAAAAAAAGGTGAATTCCTGTCAGCCCAGAAGGACCCCATGTCTGGCAGATGGTTGTGTGTCTCTCCACAGGGGGAGCAACTTTCTTGGACATCTTCTGATGCTCCAGTGACAGTTGAAGAGTGCAAAGGTACGTGCTACAGTCAGTATTAGGGAGGAACTAGGCCTAGTTAATTTTTTTTTTTACATTTTATATAGCATGGCAGTAGTTCATGTGTTTTTAAAGTAGTGGAACTTTTCAAGTAACACACAACTTTTACAAACAAGAAAATATGCGGAATGAAAAATCGTGCTGTCTGTCCCTTAATTCACTTGATTCATATGTAGTACTTTATTTTAGTAGGAGTTTGTATTATGTATTATGTCTGTATGTAGGAGTTTATTTTAGTGACTTCAGTTGTTCAAAGAGTTCATGTCACAAACTGATTCATTGCTTCATTTGAGTCCCTGCTGGTCTATCTTTTTTTGGTAGCAAACTATTTAAAGTTTGAAGTGAAAAATTCGCCCTATGTATTTTCTAAATGCATGTTATTGATCTCATTGTGAATGATTCATCCATGCATTTGTTTCATTTTATTTTTTAAGATTTATTTTTGGGCGGTTTTGTCTTTATTATGATAGGACAGTACAGACAGGAAGCAAAGTGGGAGAGTGAGAGGGGGGGATGGGATCGGGAAAGAGCAACTGCGCTATATGTCGGGGCGCTGCCCACGAGGCTATTGGTGTAGACATTTGTTTTATTTTTAAACTTTTTTGATTTCTTTATTTAATCAAAATGTCATAAATGGGTCTTTTGTGAAATAACTTCTCTCTGGTGATATACACCGGACTCCTCCGATCATTTGGTCCACTTAAACTCCGCCCCTTTCTTACAATTGACTGCAGTCTTGTATTTAGATCTGCTTCCATCCAATCAACAACCAATTTTTTCCCCTTAATTTTTTCATCTGTTTCAGTCAGATGAACATCACAATACTGAAGAAAAGATGACGCTACTTCCGTTTCATTGAGGATTTTAAATTCTGCCGTTTCTTACTATTTGACTAGTTTTTTTATTTGATATTACCCTAAAATTACCCTATCCATACACTGAGATCTTAATTATTTTGTGTCAGATAAATTCTGCTCTGGTTGTAAAAGTAAATTATATGATGCTGATAGTTTTATATTCAGAAACATATTGCCTTCTTAATGTAGTTCGCAACTTTATGTTAGTGTACCTGACTACTTTTTTTAAATGTAGCTTGCGTGTAGCTTGGGGAGCTACAATTTGAAAGTACCTTCCACAAGACTGTCTCAAGTATTGGTTCAACAGTGCTTAAAGGGTTAGTTCACCACAAAATGAAAATTATGTCGTTCCAAACCCGTAAGACCTTCGTTCATCTTCGGAACACAAATTAAGATATTTTTGATGGAATCTGAGAGCTCTCTGACCCTCCCATAGACAACAACGCAACTGTAATGGAAAGCGCGCGCATGAACTGGCTTCAGCAGCCATTATTCCAGTCTTAAGTGTTAAGATTCTTCAGAAATCATTCTTATATGCTGATTTGGTGCTCAAGAAACAATTCTTCTTATTATAATTTATGTATTATCTAAATATTGTCTAACTTTTGAACAGTAGTCTAAGGCTTGCTTGTAAAATTTATCTTCAATCATCATCTCCTGACTTTATAATTTCAGCATTCATTTGTCCAAAATTTGACCAAGTACATATGTTTTAACAACCTCTTTTTTAACATAAATCATTTATCTTTACACAAGCTAATAAATATAAAATATTGCACATTTTCATTGGAGAAGTAAGACATTAATCATATTTAAGTGTTATATTTGGCATTGGGTCTTTTTTTGGTCTTAGTGACACTCACATCTCCTTTCCCAAAACTGTGAAGATTATTGCAAAAAAAAAAGAAAAAAAGTCTTGCGGTATTTTGGCATTACAGAGCAAGGGGTTTCTGGGAAATGATGGTGCTGAGACGTTCCAGACTCTCAACTGTGTTCTGAAAATAAAAGGAGATGATCCCAATCTGATGGTGCTGAGAAAGAAAGGTAAGATCATCAGCTGTTAGTTAAATCCCACATGTTCTCAGTTTGGTTAGTTATTGTGAGTCACCAGGACCCTGTGTTGGTTACACATTGCAATAAAATGTGGTGATGCATACAATATTGAGACATTGAGTTTGTCTCAATAGAGAATGAAATTTTCTATGAGGCAAAGAGCATATGAAAATGAAATCTAATCAACATACAATATCATAATTGAACTGTAGTCCCAAAGGTTAAGTTGTGGTTCGTGAGTAATGAATTTAACAAAGTGGTCTAGTCATCCGTGGACACAAGAATAAAGAAAATTCTAATAAAAACATTGCTAAGACTTGTTCTGTTATGAGATAAATATTTTTCCATGTGAAATAAATGACTTGATACTTTGAGACTCCTCTCAGGAACAGGGATTCCAGTTTCTAGTTATTTCTGGCGACCCAAAAACATTTAGATGCACTTGTGTGTCTTGGCCATGACTAAAAGAATATCTGTACTTCTTCTTTTCTCCACCCTTCATCTTCTGACAAAAGGTCATGAATTCAGCACAGCAGGCCCGAAGAGTTTTGAGAGGCTGAGTTTCCGAAAGACCGGTTCTGGAGTGTATCGGATGCTTGTGTTTGATGCACGTGGATCCACTCTGGCAGACGTCCATCGCTTCTGCGTCAACTCTTGCAGTCGTGAGAACTGCTGTGATGGATTCATCCTTAACCAGAATGTCCTCGATGGAGGTCAGAGCCGCTCTCACTCATTACAAGCGGATGCAGCTCCTTTCCACTGCTATAAAACCAAATCACTACAATACAAAACTAGAAGTGTCATGTTTTTTAATTTTTTTTTTTATATATATATGATCAATGAATAATTGTTAAATGGTTTTGTCCTGTGCTTTAGGCTCTATCATGTGTGGGCTCATGAGCGCTCCTTCAGTGCTGCAGTGCAGTGAGGCAGACTGGGACGTGGGGGGTGTGGCCTCCTCCAGCCGCATCTGTGGTGCTGGTGTCCAATACAGCAAACAACTGAAACGTTTCGCTTTCAACTTTGGTGGACAGGACTTCACCATCAGTATGAGTCCATACACGTACACACTCCGGATTTCATAACACTTTCAAACTGTACACAAATGTGTTTAATTGTTGTTTAAAACTGCACAACTCGGTTCTGCTGTTATTTGACCTTTATCAATTGTTTAGTTTCCAGTGGTTGCTCTTTATTGCTTCATTCTGGTGTTTTTTCCATCCTGGTACCCATTTTATAAACTTAAAAATGTACAGAGTTTACTCTGTCTGATTGATTATGACTTGCTGAATCATTACCGATGTGCAGTGCTTGAGAATCTTAGCTTTCATATCATAAAATTTTACATGATTGCGAATTCAATTGTATGTCATATATATCAAGATTTATGATTGTATGGAATGATGGGCATTATAATGGAAATGAACATTTCTTGCAGCTGATGCAGCCTTACCGGCATCCAGCAAAAATAAAACTGGCTACCAGGAAACTCTCATCAGCTTCCAACGCATCTACCTCTGGAAAGGTTCGAACATTCTGCACACGTCAGCTAAAGCGTTTTAAAAGCCAGTCATAAACAAAAGTATATATTTTGATGAATTATGATCTAGCTTTTATTCTTGTATAATCTAATGGTTATAATTTATGTCTTCAGAGTCTGATATGAACACACGTCCAAAAACCCCCTCTTGCTTGCAGTGGATCAGCTGTTGTAGAAGATTCCAAATTTGCTCTTTCTGGTATGAATGAATGAAATGAGGCCAAACTAATTTTATATGTATATATTTACTAAAGCTTTTTTGTGTTCTTGTGCTTAAAAATACCCTTATAATAAACTGTACTGTTTTAAAATTGGTGTTTAAAAAAAACTCTGTTCTGTGTTTTTTTTTTTCTCTCTCTAATAATAATTTATTTAGACTCCGTAAAGGAGACACAACGGTGATGTTAAAGTCGACCAAGAGAGGCAACTTCCCAGTCAGCTTTACTGGATCTTTAAACACCAATACACTTTCCAGGAGGCACAGCTGTAGTGTCTGAAACGTAAGATGCAATTTGCTTACACTTATATACTTACTAAATGTCTGTGTGGTCCAAGAATGTGTCACATTCTGATCTGTAAATATGGGATTTGGGTTTCAGGCTGCGAAGAAGAAGAATTCTGTCATGTGTCTGATATTCGTGATGAAGGCCCTCTGTATTTTGCATGTGTATTGTATCCTGACACGCGTGTATGTGGGGCATATGACAAACCCCTCAGGCAGGCATGCAGTTTAGTGATGACACAGAGTCTTCAGACTGCATACCAGAAGAAAGGTAAGTCGTTTATACACAAAAAGATCATGCTTTCACTACAATTAACAAATAGGGTCATTTTAATTATTTACTTCCACATGGATCTGAAATAATGAAAACACTATAAATCAATACACCATGTGATTTTGTTGTCATACCCCATTTCATCATAAAATCACATATATACTATATTATAATGTATATTATATTTTCATATTTCCAAGCATTAGCTGTCTATTTTCAGAGACTTTTCTCTGTGATTGGACAGATGGGTTTTGCATTGCCTTATGCAGACTGTGGTCTATGGTGAAGTCTGATGTCAGACTCTTACAACTTTCATAGTGACTGAGTCTGTCGTTTACTTTATTTGTTTTCCGATATGATCCTAGCAACTGAACATGGAATGCAGATGATTCAGATTTTGGTATTGCTGGAGCTTGAGAGAGACATAAGGTGAAAGGACAAAAGGAGACAATGATGATGGATTAATAATGACTAGTTTGAAGTCTAAGTCTGAAGTGAATGCTAGTCTGACCAACACTAAGCAGACTCAAAAAATATATAAATATTAAAATAAATATAGAAATATTGTTTTGATTTGGGACAGTCAAACCAAAATGTATTCAGACACCTTCAAAATTTCTCACCTTATCACAGTTTTAAACATTTTACTGGTAGTCCACTGTATGAAGAATTTTTGGGTATAATATGTCACAGTTTACTTTGCTTTGCTATCCTCACTTACATAAATGAACTTTAGTGTCCTGCACCCACTAGTAAAAAAAATATATAAAAAATTATATCTGGTGCCTGAATAATTTTTAGTTTGACAATATAATATAATAATTATTAAAGGAAAGAGAGAAGTACATTAATTACACAATTATCTTTACTTGTTTTTCTACTGTTGCAATTGCAAACTTGAACCAGAATCATTATCTCCTGTATTTTGGAGTTCACTGGTCATTAGCCATAAAACAAACCATGTCTAGTTCTCATTACACTTTTTTTGAGAATTGTCTGGATGACTGGAGAACATTTCAGCGAGGTGAAGTGGCAAAACTCCACCTCACCCATGTGGCGTGCAGACAGCAGTGAGCTCATGCTGTCTGCGGTATGTGGAAGGAAAGACTAACACAATCTAATGCGACTTTCCTCAACACTACCTGTAAAATCCACTATCTTGACATATTGTCTAGCTGGTACAGTTGAGTGATGTTCTGACATTTGACTTCTGCTAAATGCTTTTGCTTCCGTCAAAAAAGTGTCAAACTCATCTGTTAATATCTTAATTCATTACCCTGTTTCATGACCATTTAAGTGTGAAATCTAACGGAAATTCTGCCAGCTACATTCTAAGTTAGACGACTCTAACTTAAAGGCATCACGGTATCAAGTGTTGTATGAGTATTAGTTTCTATTAGTTTTTATGCCATCCATATGCTATACTGTCCTCCTAAATTTAAACCTTTTTCACTTTTAGCAGATATAATAATCCATGGTCCATATAATAATGGCTTAAAGGGGTGGTTGATTGTGATTTCACTTTAAGAACGTTAGTTATTGTGTAATGTTGCTGTTTGAGCATAAACAATATCTGGAAAGTTACGAAGCTGAAAGTTCAATGCAAACGGAGATATCGTCTTTTAAATTTCTGGCAGTTTAATGCCTACAAAAACAGCTGGTAGGGACTACAACAAGTTACTTCCGTTTAGCCAATCACAACACACTGGGCTAGCTAACCAATCAGAGCCCATCGCCTATTTCTGAGGGAGGGGTTTCATAAAAGCAGGAAATGATCAGCGTGTTTCTCAGAGAAGGGACAGAGCGGTGTGGAATAAAGGTAAATTATGTGAAAAATAATGAGTTTTTTTAAGAAACGAAGCATTAACACGTTAACACCCCATAAACACAATCAAGCCTAGAAAAAAACAGTGAACCACTCCTTTCATAAATTAAACCATTTACAAGAAAACTGAAATTGTCAAGTGATTTCAAGGGGACTATGAATGTCCGTTACCCTGGCCATGGTGTACAAATTCTGGTCATGGTGTACAAATTCAAAAAAGAATTTGATTTTGAAGTTCAATACCATTAATCTTCATTTCAACATTCTCCACTGTTTCACATTTGGACTGTTCCTCTAGGTGTCAGAATTAGTTTCCCCTGAAAGAAAAGCACGTGGGTGAGACCCTCTGTATTTGTGGTTTATGCATGATGTTCATTGTTAGCCTTTAAATTAGAAATGGATAGTAGTGTTGTGTAAGATTTGGTAAAGTGAGTGAGTGACCACACAATAATGTGGTTTTCTGGATGTCTGTCTAAACTGCAGAACAGCTCTAGGATTTAAATGATGTGGAATCACAAGTAATTTATTTGAACAGAAGCGGAGAGAAGGAGTGCCTCTCAGATTACCTTAGTCATTCATTCCTCTCCATAGCAAAGACGTTGTCCGCTCTTTAGCCCCTTAGCTTTTCTTTAAAAAGGACTGTTCATTGTGGACTATGTAAGGTTTTATGTAAGAGAATTTTGTCTGGTTTTTGTTTAGTACAAGCCTTTTTTAAGATGCTTATATGGAAATAATCATTTTAAAAAAAGTTCATTCAAATCTGAAATTTAATTCTAAATGAAAAAAATAATTACTACAGTGTGTTGGATTATAGAACCATTAAAAAGTTAGGGGTTGATGAGTCTTTTTTTATGTTGTTGAAAGAAGTCTCTTATGCTCACCAAGACTGCATTTAGTACAATTGTGAAATATTACAATTGTGTCACATTATTATCAATGTTGAGCTGCTTAATATTTTTGTGGATACTATTATACATTTTCTTTTTTTTTCTTTTTTTAAGAATGAAAAAAAAAATTATTTAGTGTCATTTTTGACCAATTTAATGCATTCTTGAAAAATATTATTATTTATGTCAAAAAGAAAAGAAAAATGTCTTACTGACAACATACTTCTGAACAATTTAAAATGGCAAAACATGAATATTTGGATTTGATAGTCCTATCGTGTGTTCCTGGAACAGAAATACAGTGATTTTCAGTCATAATAGGGGATCACAGGGGCTTGAATGTTTCATGGCCTATAAAGTAATCCACAACAAAAAGGTGTGATCATAAACTCTTAACATGTGGTCCATCTGCTGAAGATGTTTAAGGGTGGAAAATAATGCTACCTTTGTGGAAATCTGCTGTAAGGGGTTTCTCAATGCTGTAAAAGAGAGTTTCCATTTTTTTGACCCAGCGTTTCATCTTAGCTTGTACTGAGGGAAACAAAGAACCTTTCATAATTAGCGAACAGTATGTTTTTGCCCCAAATCACCACTTGGAAGTTTCTGTGTGTATAAATGTTCCACTGTTTGGAACATTAGGTCAAAAAATACTCTTTTTACCAACCTATTCCGATTCGATTTTACAGTCATGCATAATATGGACATCACTTTCTTTTTCTTGTGCAGTTTCTCTGTCTGGAAGTGTGAAGAGCTTTTACAGCCGTGTTACTTTTAAGAAGATGGTGTCCTACTCTGTACGCAGTCGAGTCAGTCTGTCCAGTAAATCTATCACAGAAGGGTGAGGAGAAAGCCAACAAATTTGTGTTTCCATCTCAGTTTATTTGTTTCCTTCATGAGTAATGCTGTTTTAATTTTTCAAGCAGGTTTTTTGAGTGTGAGAGGCGATGTGATGAAGATTCATGCTGCCGTGGCATAGGATATGTTCAAGATTCAGGAGTACCTGGTACAAAAGAACCTTTACACTCAGACGAGTCTCGAAACACACATCTTATTCACTCAAAACACGTGATGTGTCTAATCTGAGGAATGAAACCACTCACAGTTGGTCTCTGCTTTGTCTTTGTACAGGATCAGATGTGTTGTGTCTAACTCTGAATAGTCTGGGTATCCAGACGTGTGGTGAGAATGACAGCACTAACTGGAGGATTCAGGACTGCTTCCCATCCAAAGTGCAGACTGAAGCCTATCCCTCCGGCTGGTATGAAAAGCCGGGTATATCTGAAATCCATGTGCTTTTTCGAACTCTGTGTATTTCAATGAATTGAGAATTCCCATTATGTGACTTGTTAAAGTAAATTACTTCATGAAAAGATTTTACCATCCTCTTTGTATGTCTGTAGTTAACCAATGGATAAAGAATCCAAGAATGTCCACCATTTAGTCTCCGCTCTCCATCAAAGAATGGTAAGAGACTCCTAAATGAATAATAACTTACTGTTTTCTAATTAATGTATTTATAATTTAATTAAGTAATTTATGTAATTCCCACACATCATTCTTGATCTCATTGCTTATGTGCAAGCAGCTGATTTGAAGAACTGGAAGCAGTTGGATGCCGCCTCTGTCAAGGTGGATTCGTCTGTTTCAGCTTTTGACATTGTCCACATAAGCAGCGATATAGCAGAGGATCTGGATAAAGTCAGAGAGTGGTGTCTGTCTGGTAACATTTCTCACCTTTCGTTTTCTGAGAACTTTTACAGGAAGCTGATGTGATGGAGGCACACTTGCTAAACACATGTAGCAACATAGTTTACTTTTGATCTGAATAAATATTATTTCTTATGCTCACCAAGGCTGCATTTATTTGATCAAAAATACAGTAAAAGCAGTAATATGTTGAAATATTGTCACAATTTAAAGTATCTGTTCTATTTTAATATATTTTAAAATATCATTTATTGCTAAGATGACAAGGCTGAATTAATATACAATAATATACATATATGTATATATGTGTGTGTATGTGTATATATACACTGAACAAAATTATAAACGCAACACTTTTGATCAACAACCTGATCAACTCTATGCGAAGGAGATGTGTTGCACTGCGTGAGGCAAATGGTTATCACACCAGATACTGACTGGTTTTCAGGCCTCCCCGGACCCCCCCAATACAGTAAAACTGCACATTTTAGAGTGGCCTTTTATTGTGGCCAGCCTAAGGCACACCTGTGCAATAATCATGCTGTCTAATCAGCATCTTGATATGCCACACCTGTGAGGTGGGTGGATTATCTCGGCAAAGGAGAAGTGCTCACTAACACAGATTTATACAGATTTGTGAACAATATTTGAGAGAAATAGGCCTTTTGTGTACATAGAAAAAGTCTTAGATCTTTGAGTTCAGCTCATGAAAAATGGGGGCAAAAACAAAAGTGTTGCATTTATAATTTTGTTCAGTGTATATATATATATACAGTATATATATATAATTTATTAATTTGAATGTATTTTATTTAATTAGTAATAATCAGAATAAATTTTTTTTTGCAATTCACAGTACATCAGATGTATGTGGTTATCTTTGTTTTCTCATAACTTTCTTGTATTCTGTAGCTTGTGCGGAAAGTGAGTCCTGTTCAGCTGTGTCCATCGATAGCAGAGAGTCAGCCATGAGATGTGTGATGTGTCCAGACACACACACCTGCCTTCCTACGACCAGCGGACCATGCTGCTTCCTAGTCATCAAAGAGCCTGCTCAATCTGTTTACATCAGGACAGGTGGCACATTAAAACAATGCATTCTTCGATTTATTCAGAGTGTCAACCAGTTTAGGGTGTTTCTGATTTCTTCCACCCCAACAACAGAGATGTTAAACATTTCTTTATAGGTATACAGCCAGACTTGACTTCTGTTTCCATCCCTGATCACGGCACACTTCTCGGGGAGAGTGAGGTGAAACCCATAACTGGCTCAGATAGCAAGCGTGTGACCTACTTCCTGGGTGTCCCTTATGCTCATCCACCAATCGGAGAGCTCCGTTTCAGCCCTCCACAGCCAGCTGACTGGACTAGTACCTGGAATGCCACGTTTTCTGAGTGTGTTTGATTGCAGATTGTAAAAGTATAAATGTATGTTCTCAAAAATGAACATGTATTTATACCCTCAAATCTGCAGAATTAATAGAGTCACTTTTCTTGAGTGAGATCTGATTTGCTTGATCAAAACTGTTTTAGATCCAGCTGTCTTCAGCCTGGCGATCCCACTGACTCCACCTCCAGCAAAGACTGTCTGTACCTCAATGTATTTGTTGCTAGTAGTGTGGTAAGACTCACATGACATACTTGTGAGCTCATACATGCATAAATTCATATATAGGTATACATGTAGAGTACTATTCAGAAGTTTGCAGTCAGTAAGTTCATACAAAATAATACATAATATACTCATTTAATTATTTTTTCTCATTTAGTGTCTCATTGGAACTCACTGTATATCATGGACTTTTATATATGTTAATACTGCTTTCATAAACCACTGTATCTGCTGACTGACTGTGGTGCAAATGCTGTTATTGGTATTCATAGTACAATTTTTCTGTTTTGTCACAGGGAAAGAATGCTCCGGTTCTGGTGTTCTTCCACAACTCTGGATCGGGTCTCTTAGATGGCTCTTACCTCGCTGCTGTTGGCAACATAATAGTAGTGACAGCCAGTTTCAAGGTGGCTGCTTTCGGTTTCCTAAGTGTAGGTACACAAACACGCACATATACATGAAAGTGTTCAAATATGCATCTTGATAATATTCCAAGACTCTAGCCAGCCCCACAAATGCTTTCTATTTTAAATATATGTCAAATGTAATGGCAAAGCCAAACTTTCTATAGCCATTACTCCAGTCTTCAGTGTCACATGATCCTTCAGAAGTCATTCTAATATGCTGTTTTGGTGCCAAAGGCATTTTTGGTATCAAAACCGTTTTTGTGGAAACTGTGAAACATTTTTTTCTGGATTCTAGAAATAGAAAGTTCAAAGTTCACATTTAAACAATTTAATGCACCCCTGTTGAATAAAAGTATTCATTTATTTAAAAGAAAATAAACTTTTCAGTGTACATCCATTGGATAATAAACATTTTTTTTCTGGGTTCTGGATCTGTAAAGACCGAAAACCCTTGGCATAGAGCAACATATAATATAGAATCTAGTACATAACACATAACACAGTCCTCACGATTATGAGCCCTGAATACAATCATCTTTAGTTTTATTTTTCTTTATTGTTGATGTGTTTGTTTTCATGCATCAAAAAAGAGAAAGCCTTCCTGGACACTTTATTCTGAAAAGTCCTGAAAATATTATAAGGAATGAAGACAGCTTTATTATATATCCTACACTGGAATTAAACTGTCCTGGAAGCTCTGTTCGGTTAGAAATTATGTGAATATGGTTATGGAATATGGTTACGTAATGTCCACGTGAGAAGTTCCATTCCGCACATTGGTTGTGAAAATATTCGGATTCTTTTCCCCTTTGCCACCCTTGGCTGAGTACGTTTGAAAAGGAGGCCTAACTGGTGCCTTTGAGTGGTCTGCCAGGATGAGCTTTCATTGTCCAGCCAAAAACAACAAGCAGTGAAAGCTGTGCAGAAGCCTGATTGGCTTCCTTAAGTTTCTTGAACTGTTTGTGACAATGGTATTTCCCAGCCAAAAACCCCTGTGGAGCTGGGAATATTTTATTAAACATTTAAAAGATTATTATTATTATTGTATAATGGATCGACTTTCACATGCTGGTTATAATGAAAAGGTGATTTTTCAGTCATTTATTGCAAATCTTCTTGCGTCATAGTTTTAATCTATGTGTGGAAAACACATTTGGATGTGCCTGATGAATTGAACTCTGTTGACTCTGTGTAGGTTCCAGTGCTCTGCCGGGGAATTATGGGTTGCAGGACCAGGCAGCTGCTCTGGATTGGGTTCAGAAGAACATTGCTCTGTTTGGAGGAGACCCCACTAAAGTCACAGTAGGAGCAGAGAGAAACGGAGCCGACATTGCGAGTCTTCATCTCACCTCACCGTCAGCTTCATCACTTTTCCACCGTGCTTTATTAATGGTAAGAACAGAACTCTGAGTTCCAACTGCCGGTTACACGACATCACTGTTTAATGTAACAAGACTAATGTCTGAGGTCACATTTACAGTAAAATCAACCTTCTCCAGTCCAAAAAAGAATGATGCAAGGTTGCACAACCATCCTAAAACATTCAAAGTCAAAGCTTCGTAAGCCCAAATTTAAATAAACACGTGCTTGAGGAGCTTAAATTTTTCTCTGACAAAAAGTCTGTCTCTTTCCAGTCCAGACACAACAATGCCTTTAGATATCCCTCTATCAGCTTTTGAGCTCCTGGAATGAATTAGATGTGATCTATCAAGGCACCTCCTCATAGTTGTCTTCCACAGTGGCCAAACTGTCAAGCTGGTGGTTTGGCATCATGTAGACAGACCTCCACCTCTTCTTCAAACTAAACTTCTTTTTCTCTGGTTTCTCTTGCTGTCCCAGCAAAGACAGGTAGGAAGAGACACTGTTCTGAACCCCATAGCTGACCGCTGAAGGGCTTGTGCTCTGGTGGACGAGCTCCGAGCTGAGTGTGGGAAAATGCATTAGTATTATAGATGTTGTCTGAAAGGATTTACAGTATCTAAAATGCTTCTATGTTCATATGATAGTTCAAATACTTGTCAAATAATCAATTTCAGTTTTAGTAGAGAAACAATAAGGAAAATTGTAAGATATACATTACCATTCAAAAGTTTGGAATCAAACTTTTTTGAAAAAATAAATTACTTTTATTCAGTAAAGCTACAGTAAATACTTGTACATTTAATATATAAATACTAACTTACATTTATTCATTAAAAAATATGAAGTAGCACAACTGTTTTCCAACTTCGATAATAATCAGAATTTCTTTAGCACCAAATCAGCATATTATAATTATTTCTGAAGGATCATGTGACACTGAAGACTGGAGTAAAGGATGCTAAAAATCACCCTTTGCCAGGAATAAATTCATTTAAAAATTATTTTAAAAATATATAGAAATAGAAAACATCACAATATTACTTTACATACTGTATTTTTGGTTCAAAAATGCAGCCTTGGTGAGTATAGGCGACTTCTTTCAAAAACATTAAAAACATTACTGACCTCAAACTTTTGAGTGGTAGTGGTTAAGGGACAAATCTTGAGCGGCTTTTATTGATCTTATTACCTGTTCACTGCCCTCCAGTCAAAAGATAATTTTCTCCCTTCAGGTGTTTTCGTGAGCTCACTCAGAGGTGTTTCACAGGCGATCAAGCATGGGCCAGTTAGAACACAGCACAGTCCGTCTGCTATATCTAAACCAGAGCGAGAGGGAAAATCTGCATCAAATTGGCCATCTTTTACACTAAAAGTGGTCGTTTTTTGGTGTAGTATTTGATTTACCAGAGTAGTAGTTGACCAGATCTTCCAGACATTGAAATGTGAGGCGTGGAGAGATGTAATACCAGTTGTTTGGCATTCTAACTATTCGATAATGCTTAATAGTTCTGTGGCGCACAGATAAAGTGTACGAACCTAGAAAAATACAAGCAATATGATTGTAACATCAGCCATATTAGTGAACAAGCCAAAATATTATTTAGAAGATCCTTTGGATTGGTCTATTTATAAAACTCTGTCTGTCATCCAGAATAAGCTGAAATATGGACCAGACCTTGTGCTGAGTGGGACTAGACTAGGATATAATGTTCATCTTAAATATATATTCTGACCGTTTGTGCTCTCTCTGATCAAGAACGACCCCACTCGGTTTCCTGGGAGTTGAAGCAGTTCCTCAGCTTTTGGTCTGGTCACAGTTTCAAACAGCCAGCTGAGACAGTCAAGAATGTTTCCATTAGCACTCACAGAGCATTAAACAGCTAGTGGAAGCTAAATGAGAAGTAGCTAGTATAGTTGGCATTTCAGAACCTACCCATGGTAGACTTTTGTGGCATGACAGTGCGGTATATAGTTCACTTCCTTAGTGTTGTCTGAGTAGACCTTCCACCAGTAACTTTCTCTGAAAGAAAGTGAGACTTGTAAAAATGTATGTAGACAGTTCTTGTCGTTTATAATGATAAAAAAACAACCTATTTCTATTCAGTGAAAAAAAACATTTTTCTGTGTGTGTTAAACAGCAGAAGGTTAGGCTAGTGTTAAAGTTAACACTGGCTTCAAGGTTTTGTGGTCAGTTGTGCATTCACACATTGTGCCCAACAACTGTCAGTTTGTTGTTATTGATGTATAATATAGTTACTATTAACATACTAACACTTCAAACATACAAACATTGTATCTATCTACTAACACTTCAAACATACAAACACTATCTCTCTCTCTCTCTCACTCTCTCCCTCTCCCTCTCCCTCTAGTATTTATCAAAGAATCATGAAAATTATATAACTGTTTCCACAAAAATTTTAAGACGCACAGCTGTTTTCAGCATTAATAATTATATCTGTTTCTTAAGCACCAAAGCAGCATGTTAGAATGGTTTCCAGAATGACTGGAGTAATGATTGCTGAAAATTCAGCTTTGCAATCACATTAATAAATTACATATTTAAATATATTAAAATAAAAAAGCTGGTATTTTAAATTGTAATAGTATTTCACAATCTTGCCATTTTTACAATGTTTTTGATAACATAAATTATGAGCATGAAAGACTTACCCCCCCAAAAAAAACACTCTTTTGAATCGCAGAGGGTATGTGTTTGCATAGCTGAACTTATATGTTTCTGCTAGCATATCTTGCGTAATAATCTTGTGAAGCATGTTAAGAGACAGATTTTACTATTAGCATACAGGCAAAAGCTCTTGTAGAAGCGTATGATAATGATACTTACTCAGACACTATTTTCAGCCAATCTCCCATTCGAAATATGGGCTCGCAGATATCAGGAGGAGGGTAGTTATCCAACACTAATGCCATGTCATTCTCATCCACTGTTAAACAGAAAATGTCACATTTGCATTGATTTTCATAATGTTTATGTTTGTTACTAGTTTTTTTTTAATGTTTTTTAGCTGAAACAAAATGAAACAAACCTGTATTTTTGAGCATTTGTATTAGGAAGTAATTTAATATTAATCATTTGTATTTATGTTGCAGTGCCAGGAAGTACTTCGAATATGCACTTTTAGCCTTTTTTTAAGTCAAAAATGATGACTAAACAGAAAAACAAACTTCCTTGTTTGCTACTATTCAGTGCTGGGTGTGTTAACAGCTAATTCTTGCGCACTTGTGTCCAGTTTTAAAGACTTATTATTTTTTAGGTCATACACAAACTTTGTTTTTTTTGCCAGAATAGAGGAGTTTAGTTCAGCTTAGGCTATTGAATATTATTTCATTTCAAGGACAGACCACAGCTTATGCCGCACATTCTATAAAGAGAACCGATATATATGTATGCCTATGTATTAATACCGTTTGAGTCTCTCTTCACAAACCACAACATCTGTAAATGATTGAAACGATGTGGCATAAGCTTACAATAACTGGGAGCATCACTTGAAACCAGTCACTCAAACAGTGCTCAGCATTTTCGTACCTCTTGGTGGAAGGTCTTCATTAGTGCGAGTTTGTCTGAAATCCTCCAGGGTTCTTTGGCTTGCCAGAGTGCCTCCCATTGTCAATCTCCCATGGCTAGTCCTACAAATGAATCACATCCAATCAGCCATCAGATGTCTGTCCCAACTGAGACAATCTCCCCTTCTTATAGATTCTGCTATTGTTCTGTTGTGCAACTTCCCACTGATAAGAGTTTAAGGGCATGGCCTGAGTAAACGGGGAAGCTTTCTCACCACACTTTCCACTTCACAAATAAGCAAAAATAGGAAGTGTTGAAATGCAACAGCTTTATAATCGCATGCAAATTCATTCACATATGCTCTATATATGGAAATAATGCACCGCTTCTGGTAAATAGGTGTATAAATAGCAGTGGTATGCAAAGAAAACCACTCACAGTTTCATGATTTTCTGTTTTGACACATTTTTTAGTCTAAACCATAATAGATTAATATAAAACGTGTTTGTCTCATTGACATTTGAGACTGACTGGAAAAGTGCTCCGAACTCTCTCAGTTCTCAAACTGAGTAACAAACGTCTTTAAAGTAAAACAAAAATCCATAATTAATGACGTCTAGATGAAAATAGTTCATCATGGTTGATGACTAAAGATCCAGATACCTTTTTAGTGGTCACATCTAGTGCTAAACAATGCTGTTGTTTGCTTATAGGGTGGATCGGTGTTTTCTCCAGCTGTTGTAATGAGTACATCTAAAGCCCAGGCGCAAACTGCATCTCTGGCTAGGGAACTTGGCTGCTTGGCCTCTAATACTTCACAGCTGCTGACCTGCCTAAGGAGTAAACCGGCTCAGAGCATCAACGCTGCCCAGACCAAGGTACAATGGGTTGCTTTTGTGAAGAAAATGCACAAAATAGTCGTTTAACATCCTCGGGGTGTTTTTATTTGTGTGTAGTTGTTAGCAGTGAGTGGTCCTCTGCAGGCCTGGTCACCGGTGGTTGATGGAACTGTAGTTCAGGAAAAGCCTTCAGTGGCCCTTCGGTCCGGACGCTTCCACAAAGTTGAATTACTTCTGGGGTCATCCATTGAAGACGGCCTCATCAGCAGAGCCAAGAACATTAAGGTCAGGACAAAAATATATCAGATTGAGAAATGAGCGAGAGGACAGCACCTAAAAGATAGTGTGAGAATTAAAGCGCCTAAAAGATAGTGTGAGAATTAAAGCTTGGTGTGGTTAAATTTTTTTGTGTGGTTGATTTTTGTTTCTTTTATTTGAGAAGAATTTCGAGCAGCTTCAGGGAAGGACTGACAGCAAGACAGCATTTTACGCAGCCCTGTCTAACTCTTTGGGTGGAGATGATGCTAATGCTTTCGTGAAGGAGGCCGCGACCTGGTTCTACTCTTTACAGCACTCCCCCACACCCTCAGGATGCAATGTGTTCTCTCGCGCACTGGAAAATGCTACAAGGTAAGAGGTGGAAGGTCATACAGAATAAAAGTGTATTTTGTTTTCATTATAAGAATGTTGCATAGAAAGCATGTACCTCCCAAGCTAAGTTTTTTTTTTTTTTTGGAAAGAAAGAAATTAAAACTTTTATTCAGCAATGATGCATTAAATAGATCAGAAGTGACAAATAAAAAATTAGCTATGTTTCCATCCACCTATTTTTATGTGCTTTTTTGGAATATCGCATTAAAAAATCACTGGATGGAAATGCCAAGATGCACATAAATTTTAAAAATGTGCATAAAAAAAGTTCTGACAGTTGCACAATTGAGTAGGATAAACTTTTCATCTGATAAGAAAAAATGTGCATAAACTACAATGGAAACACATTTACTGAATAAATTCCACCGTGCGCGTCAAAAAATCATGCGACTTTGCACGATGGGACGGGATAACTTGACTAACCAGCGGACCAATCTCGTTGCACAGCATCTGAAATGTTTTTTGGTCGTTCTGAAATGCCTGAGCAAAGTCTGTCATCAAAGTAAGTCTGTATAATTGTCTTACATGACTGCTTTCCCAAACAGCAGGCATCCACCTCTGAAAGCAATGACTGCATTTATTGTGTTTCGTCTGCTCGCTCTGAGGCACAAGTAATTTATCTTATATGAAAATGATTATATTTAGTGGCTTCTTTTTTTCTTAGTGATATTTAGTGCCAGTTTATCAGGAAGTGACGATTTTTTCTTTTTGACTCGTTGAATGGAAACGGTGCTTTAATCGCAAATGTTTTATGCGATGTTTCAGGTTTGCGCATAAGTTAAATTTGCATCTTTGGATGGAAACATTGCTGCAAAATATTTATATTTTTTTACAAAGCCATTCTTTAGATTTGTCTGAAAAAATGTTTTGTGCTTTCCACAAAAAAATAAAATGAAATAACTACTAAAACAAATATATATATATAAAAAAATCAACACTATAATAATGAGAAGAAATGTACATTTAATGACCAAATCAACATATTAGAATATAGTATCTCTGATAACTTAAGTAATGGTTGCTTAACATTAAACTTTGCCATTAAATGAATAAATTACATTTTAAAAATATATTAAAATAGAGAACTGTTATTTGTAATTGTAATATTATTGCACAATATTATTGCTTTACTGTATTTTTAATCAAATTAATCCAGTTTTGGTGAGTGAAAGGCTTCTTTTAAAAACATTAAAAGGTTAATTTTATTGTGCTCCCCAAGTGGCCAAAATTATTTGTTAGATATAATATGTATAGATATAGATGTAAAATGTTTCCTAGTTCATGCCACGTGAATGAATGCAGTGGTAAAAAGACAGTTTTAATCTAATTTAAAAGCCCCTGATCAGTGTTTTATTTGTAAAGCTTAGTTGCAACTCTTTAGTTGAATGCCAAAATGAACAATAGATTTTCTCTCTCCATGTGATCACAGCTGCCCAAGTGAATGATTATGTTTGTTCAGACCCTTGAACTCGTCAAGTGGTCTGGAATGCCGAGGAATCCAGAGCTGAAATCATTTTGAGCCTTAGGGTTAGGACTCTGCGCTTGAACCGCGCTTGTCTTGCATTCACTTAGGGTGTGGAGGCTGCTGTGTTTGTGGCAAAGAGGAAGGAAATGGTATATATAGGCCTCTGACTGAAATACATTCGAGTGTGAGTTTAAAACAGTCCTAGTAAAAACGGTCACTCATTACTATTCTGAAAACAATTTCATGACACTTTAGCAATGAAGGTTTTATACTGGATGGGGTATATATAAAAAAAAAATAACTGTACAAAAATAGTCTGTGGCACTTCTAATGATGTTATAATGGTAATTTGATACTTTGTGATGCGTGACGGATGCATCCTTCTTGAGCTCAGTTTCTGTCATATTATTCTGAATTTTATTCAAGTGTGTCTGGAAAATATGAGTTCAGCGGGCTAGCATTGTACAATCTTTTGAGTCAACAGTTCATTTAACAAAAAGCTCAGTCTTTTCCCTCTGATTTATTGCTGTTTGTGATTACCAGATCGTGTCTTCAAACACTACATTGTTCACTTTTGGAAACATAGCCAAAATATTTTAAATGGAGAAAGAAATGCTGAGTAGAATTCAATTTCTGCTACAGTAAGGTTCAAATAAAACAAAATGATGATTTAATTTCTACAATGACACTGGTTTTAAATATGATAGTGGCTATGGAATTCAATACTATTTTTTAACAGTACTTTTAGCTAATTTTTCAAAGGCAATTTCACATTTTCGTTTGGACTTCTGTGTCCTGAAATTCCTGCTTCTTTCTCTGAATTGTCAGTATAGCTGTGAAAGCAGTTCTGAAGGAGGATAAGCTGCCTGCCCACATAATGACTAGTGTCAGATATAGTACAGACCAAACCTGACCAACACACCCCAGTGACCTGCTGCACACACAGCAGCATAGCAACACAAACAGGGAAGAGACAAAAGAACATTGAACCTGAAAAAACCAAGTTTTGATCCTCTTTTCACCTTCATTTCATTTTCTTTTGTTTCAACACTGTGGCATATACTGTACTCTGTAAAAAAATTATAAATTTTTATTTACAAGAAAATACTATTTCATTCTTTACATTGTTTAATTTCAAACTGTTTAACGCAATGTGTTGCTTGCCATTTCTTTATTACTTGTGAAATTTCTGAGCGAATAGTGTTTTTGCAAAAAATTTCTGCTGTTTAGTGAATGTTTATTGCATTATTTTAGTGTGTTACCCTGATGACATTTTTTTTAATGACCATCTGCACCATCTATATACAAGTTATGGACAGATCACTTACTTTGAACTTTGGTTTATCAAGTTGCTTTCTATTTTACCACCTGTAGTATTGTGGTGGATATCAGTAAAACAGGTAAAAAGTAGATTTTGATTCATAAAAAGTAGATTTTAGTTAAAGTAGCTTGGTTTGTTAACATTATATCTCTTAATGAAATAATGGTTATAAGTTATAATGGTTATAATGCATGAATATGCCATCCTGTTATACCTGAAACTGGCAACCACAGAAATCCACAAAAAGGAAACAAACTGTTAAATGAACCATAATGTGATAAAACTCATGTGCCGATATCAAAATCCTAAAATTCAGGTGTAGCCGCCTGCACCTTGCCATTCATGCATCCAAATAATTGCCATTTATTGCTACAGAGATCTCTTCATCATCTGTCCAGCTGTGGACATGGCTGAATTCTGGGCAGCCGACACACGATCCAGTGTTCACATGTACCACCTTCCTGAGGACGCTGCGTACAACAGGTGCCTTTCATTCTATACACTTAATATCTTACTTGATTATGCAGAAGTTATGGTACCATTTGTAATAAGATCTTTCACATTCAAGAAGAATCTCTGTGTTTGCTAACTATGTTTCTGTCACAGTGTTGTCCTGTCAGCTCCGATGGATGTGCAGTACCTCTTTGGAGTTCCTCTTGCCTCAGAAACACGTGACCTCTTCAGCACCAAAGAGAGAACACTTACCTTGCAGATCATGAACTACATGGCAAACTTCCTAAAGTCTGGGTATTTATCATCAACCGTTTCCGTTGTATTTTTCCATTTTTTTTCTTTGCGTCTGAGTGAAACGTAATTATCAAAAAAATATAGGGCAGGACTTGATTCTGTCCATCAGTTGTTGATTGGATGGAGGCAGATCTGAATGTCAGCCTGGTCAATTGTAAGAAAGAAGCTGAGTTAAAAGGGAGAGTTCATCCAAAAATAAAAAGTCTGTCATCATTTACTCACATCGCAACACAAATTAAGATATTTTTAATGAAACCTGAGAGGTTTGTGTCCCTCCAAGTCCATGTAACCAAAACTTAAAGATCCAAAAACGTTATATAGGCAGCATAAAATTAATCCAACTCTTGTGAAGAGAAATAACCGCTTTATATAACCTTTAATTTAGGCTTTTATTTAATCTAACAATGATGAATCTTTTTGGATCTTTTAAGTTTTGGTTACTTGGACTTTCAATGGAGGTGATAGATACCTCTCAGGTTTCTTCATTTGTGTTTCAAAGAGTTTCAAATTACATAAGTATGAGTAATTGATGACAGAATTTTTTTATTTTTGTGAACTATCCTTTTCAAACAACTAAATGATTGGAGATGTATGACATTTGTCACCAGAGAGATGTCTGCTGCTTCACCAAAAGATTGTGTTATGACATTTTAAATGAAAATTACAAGGCTGGAAAAAATTAAACCTCATTTCAAACCGACCTTATTGATTTTGCACAGCCCTATTCACCTCTTCTCTGCTTTTCACAGCAACCCCAACCTGCCTCTTGCAGCATCTAGGACGTCCTTCAGTAAGTTCTTACCCCCATGGCCTCAGTTCATGCCTCACCCGGGTGGACGGGGCTATAAGGAACTGTCCTTTACTCTCAATAACCGCAAGAACCTCCAGAGTCCTCAGTGTTCCTTCTGGTCTCAATATGTGCCAGCTCTGATCACCTCTACCGGTTAGCACTGCTCTACACATCCACATTAACTCCTGGTTGTTAAATTTAGAGATCGGAAAATAACAGAGGGTTTTTCATCAGTCAAAAATGCTTATAAATCTTTAAAATTCTGTGCACTTGGTAACCAGTGTTGGGGAAAGTTACTTTTAAAAGTAATGCATTACAATATTGCGTTACTCCATAAAAAAAGTAACTAATTACGTTACTTAGTTACATTTTATGGAAAGTAATGCGTTGCGTTACTTTTGCGTTACTTTTTAAATCTTGGCAGGGCTTGCTTGTTTGTTTTTAAAATAAAAAAGTAAGAAAAAAAAAAGTAACTTGTGTTACTTATTTGAAAAAGTAACTCAGATATTCTCTTGTAAATTAAAAAGTAATGCGTTACTTTACTAGTTACTTGAAAAAAGTAATCTGATTACGTAACTCGCGTTACTTGTAATGCGTTACCCCCAACACTGTTGGTAACACTTGTAAACCTGACTTTGACTTTTGACTTCACAGCCAAATTCTCCTGTGAGACATCAGTGGGAGATTCTGGAGGTATTCAAAGTCCAACCCAAGAGCCAAAGTCAATCCCAGACCCCAGCTTCTCTCGGACTCCAAGCAAACCTAAATCTGAGAAAGATGCTTACAATTAGTCTCAAAATGTTCCGATTTTCTTGTAATTGCTTGTTTTAAAAACCAGTTCCATCTTAGCACTCTATTACTGTGGTATTTCTGTTGATGCAAATCATTGTGATTCTAAACATTCATAGTAGAATTTAAGCAATAAACTGCATTGAAAACACTTTTGGGTTATTCTTCACTGTTCAAGTGTTTAAAAGTGATTAAAATATCTTTAGACTATTGAAATATCTTCATTAATAATTAATAAGGTGATTTAATATTAAAATGAAGACATCATACAGTCACATGGAATGGGACTGGCCAAAGTGCCAGGAGGACATATGAATAATCCTTTCTGCAAGTTTCCAGATGCTGCAACATTGGCTTGTGTGCCATTGACTGAGGGCTATTCTGAGATGCTAATTATCACTTTATTCCTGGAGATTATAAGAAGCCTTTCCTCTTTGTCTAGACTCTACTGTTCCAGCTGTCTGGACACTTTTGATTACATTCATCCATATGAACGAAGTCAAGGACAGAGCATTTTCTCAATGTGATATTTTGAGACCATTTTAAATCACTTCCACATGAACTATGAAAACAATTAGCACATTAAGGGCTGAAATATGAAAATTGTTTTAGTCTGTGGTGTAGGAGATTAGTTTAGAATTTACTGTTCTTCTGTTTAGTGCATCAGTGGCAGGCTGCCCAGCTGTCGGTTTCAATTTGTAAACCGTGGAAACCTCAACAACAACCTAGTGCATACTTCAAGGCTTTGGCAAAATATGAACACATCACACAAACCTTGCAAAATGTTGTTTGTGTGCTTCTCTAAAATATAATTATGTACCGATATGTTATTTTGCTTTACTTTAGTTTTCTCTGTTACAAGCCTAAACTTCACCACATTTGGGTTTTAAAATTCAATTATATGTTTAACATTTAAAATTGTATGTAATATGACCAAAAAAAAAAAATGTATTAATAGCATTTATTTACATTAATAAAAATATTTTTCTAATCTAATTAAAAAAAATTCTTGTGAATATATTTCATTTTGTAATAGATTCAAGTACTGTAAAAAATAGGTCATTTTAAATTTGGTAACTATACAGTATATTTTAGGTAGAATTTAAAAGTACTGTTAAATTACAACAATGTCTGGTCACTTACATACTTACACGTACATTCTCAGCTCCTGGCAGTTCTACAGAAGTTCTCTGTCCTTGTCCACTTGCTCTTATCTTGAATTCTTGCTGATTTGTGTCCAAATGTCAAGCAGTTAGAGCAACGTAAGTAATAAATGATTATGAACTATGTATTTTAATAATGTTTGCCTCTCCTCTTTAAATCAATATTCTGCTTAGAAAAATGAATACCTGACTATTTAACATGATTAAAAATCCATCATCCGATTCTTTGACTTGAGTCAAAAACAGATTGAACGCCTCACTAAAGAAAACAAATTACATTGACTGCAAACCTCATTGCATGAACACTCTTTAAATTTAAATTGTTTGGTTTATGTTGTTTTTGTGAAAACAACATGTATTTCTCTGGACTGATTTAGTGTGCACTGATATGCTATTCAAGAAGAGGACCTCAAAAGCACAAATGGGTTTCAGCTCTCTCCTGCACATTTGTGTATATTTTTTTATTTTCGTGCCACTAAATTAAACCAAAAGCAAAACAAAATTTTATTTCAGATTTAAATGAACACTTTCAGATGTATAAAAAAATGCACCAATTGCATTTTTCCTCTGAACAGTAAGTGAAGTTTCTGAATGAATGGCTGGCTTCGATTTCATGCCATACAAATGCAATAATTATGCCACTGCCAAGACATAAGACATGAGAAATCTAAACATTTATCCTCTATGTTAGTGATTTGATCATACAAACTGTTGGAAAATTTCGCTTTCTAAATAATTCAGATGCTTTATTTCTATTCCTCCGCCCTTGAAGACTGAACTGGAGTGAACTGAAAGAAAACTTCCAGCAAACTCCCTCTAAATCTGACAGACTGACGTAACGCAAGACTCCACATCTGCGCGTGTCACTGAACGCTCTGTGGATGCCACGAGGGAACGCTTGTGGATTCTACCTGTAGCAAACAACATTTCTTGTTTCAATGCATTTCTCTCAGGAATATAGTAATGTGGAGACTCCTGTCGTGGATGCTTTTGACAGCCAGTTTGCACCAGGTGGGTCTTATCATACTGTTGATTCAATGCAGTATTTGAGTTCAAAATTCACGGAACTGAAGGTGGTTTTTCACAGATGAGAATAGCAAGAAGCTGCCCTTCAGCTCAGTTGAAGTAGTGACGTTGCTTATCAAAGCGCTATTATTGGAAGAAAGCGCAAAAACTGCAGGCTGTCTTATGGCATGCCATAGTTGCAAATTCATTACAACCCAAAAATGCATAAAGAGAAACCTTCACGATAATGTTTTTAAAACTGAAAGTGACTTTGATTTGTCATGATGACAATAAAGCAAATAAATAACCTGTCTGTTGGTGCATTATGTGCCATTTTTCAGTTAATGCTCTTGCAGCGGAAATGTTGCATCAAGTTTAGGAGGCGACCAGTAGCCTATATTGTAATACATAATGTCTAATAGAACACCATTTATATGTTATGAATTATATTTTTATTATTATCTTTGTATTTTATAATCTTTTACCACATTTGGTTACATTCATCACACTAACAAAAGTGTTGTGACTGTTGATATCTGAATATCAATTGTCAATTTATTAATATTAATAATAGATTATGCCTTACACAAAAGCTTTCTGTAAATTTGTGAATTTCTTCTCCGCCAACGAAAATAAGCTTCAAGCGTTGCTTATCAGAATGAAGCGATTCACAGACTGAAACTCCGGACTGGAGCTACACATATGAGTGGAGCGGATCTGCAGAGCCACTTATCCTCTTCTGCAATCCGGTGTAGTTCACTCCAGGTTTTTTACATTACATCCACTGTAGTAGAAAGAAACCCGGTCTGATGGAGCGAGAAATCGCATGAGACTCTAGCTGTTGTAGGCGATACGATACCACAGGCAGTGCTTGATTTCTAAAAATCTAAATATTGTGTCATAGTAATGTTCCAGTTCGCTCTGTTGGTATGGTATATCTATTCAAATTAGCCATCAGTTTTGGAAAACAGTAGCCTAATTCTGTGTCACAGTGTAAAAGTGATCCTGTGCTGTTGATCATTAGAAACTAATACGAAGCATCCTCTGCAAAGTTCTTGGGAGCCTATTTGAAGGGCCCAATTTCAATGTAATTTCAAAGCAAACTCTCTATTGCCCCAGAGTGGCTAAAGTTGGCATATCTTCTTCATGTTCTTCTCTTTTCTCCCACACAGGCCTGTTCCCACAACTCCACAGACTCTCCTCTTGTGACCACAGATTTGGACCCTTATAATAGAAATCGATACTGCAAATGGCCCTGTAAGTGCCCCAAGAGTGCCCCTGTTTGCCCACATGGGGTCAGCTTGTTGACAGATGGATGTGACTGCTGCAAGGCCTGTGCCAAGCAGGTGGGGGAGACCTGTAATGAGAGAGATACCTGTGACTATCATAAAGGACTTTACTGTGACTACAGTGCTGACAAGCCGAGGTACGAAAAAGGAGTGTGTGCATGTAAGTGACCTTACGTATTCCTTTACAGCAGGGGTCACCAAACTTGTTCCTGGAGGGCCGGTGTCCTGCAGAGTTTAGCTCCAACCCTAATCAAACACACCTGAACTAGCTCATCAAGGTCTTGCTAGGTATACTTGAAACTTCCAGGCAGGTGTGTTGAGGCAAGTTGAAGCTAAACTCTGCAGGACAGTGGCCCTCCAGGACCGAGTCTGGTGACCCCTGCTTTACAGTGACATAGTTAAAATACTATATAAAGAAACATTTATTTTGCAGTTGAATTTCCTAATATAATGCAAATAAAACAACTTGAATATTATTCATATTAATGCATATGCATATAAGCCACTAGAGAAAGTCAATTTTGCATTTTGTATATACTACTTACACTACTACAATAGTGTTTGGTTCCAACAGGCATGCAATATGTAATTTTTTCTTATTCTGTGTCAAATTGATACTCAGACACAAAACTGTCACAGAACCTTTTAGTTGTAAGGACAAATATCCAGACTTTTCTGTGTTTCAGATGTTGTGGGAACAGGTTGTGAGTATAACGGTGTGATTTACCGTAATGGCCAAAGCTTCCAGCCCAATTGTAAGTACCATTGTCCGTGTGTGAATGGGGCGATTGGATGTGTGTCGCTCTGCACCGAGTCCCTGCCGCCCCGGGTCTGGTGTCAGTCGCCCAAGCGAGTCAAGATCCCAGGCCAGTGTTGCGAGAAATGGATCTGCGAAGAGTCCCGTAAACCACGCAAGACCAACCCCAGACATGCTCCTGAGGAGGGTGAGTTATGCATTATTGTTTTGTGTGGTGATACATGTCCATCAGAGGTCTATAGCATCTTCTGGTGAACTTCCATTGTTTTAGCTCCTAATTATCCTTCTTACTTCTTTTTTTCAGTGTCCCTCACCTCTAATGATATTTGGCATAAAAATTGCATTACCCAGACTACCCCATGGAGTCCCTGCTCAAAGACCTGTGGGCGGGGCATATCACAGCGCATCTCTAATGACAATGCTGGCTGTGTGATGGAGAAAGAGTCTCGACTGTGTAACCTCCGACCCTGTGAGGTGGACATCACCAAGCACTTTAGAGTAAGAATTCATTCCTACCCTGGTTTATTTCTATTTCATTTGCCCACCCATCCCATGGATGGATGGATGAATTATCATGTCATTGTCATGGACTGATGCACTGATTGTCATATCTGTTACTCAGCCGGGTAAGAAATGCCTGAACATCTACCGTGAGCCAGAGTTTCAGAACTTCACCATCTCGGGGTGTGTCAGTAAGAAGGCGTATTTGCCCAAGTACTGTGGAGTCTGTACCGATGAGCGCTGCTGCATCCCATACAAGTCTAAGACCATCGAGGTGGAGTTTGTGT